CTTAAGATTCAGATGAAAATCCAGTTGTAGAATTCTGCTGTTCTCGCAGTCGTAGTCGCATTCGCGATGACAGTCGCAGCGGCAACGGCAGTCGCAGTCACAGCCTCAGCCTCAGCCTGCCTCAGCCTCAGCCTCAGCCTGCCTCAGCCTCAGCCTGCCTCAGCCTCAGCCTCAGCCTGCTTCAGCCTCAGCCTCAGTCTGCCTTCAGCCTCGGCCTCAGCCTCAGCCTGCCTCAGCCTCAGCCTGCATCAGCCTCAGCCTCAGCCTCAGCCTGCCTCAGCATCAGCCTCCTCAGCCTCAGCCTCAGCCTGCCTCAGCCTCAGCCTCAGTCCTGCTTCAGCCTCAGCCTCAGTCTGCCTTCAGCCTCGGCCTCAGCCTCAACCTGCCTCAGCCTCAGCCTGCCTCGGCCGCAGCATCAGCCTGCCTCAGCATTCAAAATGTTGCCCAGGAGTGGAGTTCTGGAAACTAGAAGAACACGAAGTGGCCTACAGTTGGCTCCGGGCATTCAAATCATGCCCAGGAATGGGTTCTAGGGAACTTGAAGAGCACGAAGTGGCTTACAGTTGGCTCCGGGCATCCAAAATGTGGCCCGGGAATGGAGTTCTGGGAAATCGAAGAGCACGAAGTGGCTTACAGTTGGCTCCGGGCATCCAAAATGTGGCCCGGGAATGGAGTTCTGGGAAGTCGAAGAGCACGAAGTGGCGTACAGTTGGCTCCGGGCATCCAAAATGTGGCCCGGGAATGGAGTTCTGGGAGCACCAAGATCGATTTTTGATGATGTCCCAAGCGACTTCGGCTTCGACGGCAGCCTCCCCGGGTCCCGCCCTGACCCCCGTGAGGAGTCATGATGCTCTCTTTTGAGACCAGTAGAAACCTATCAGCAAGAGCTGTTAGGTAACAGCCAAGGGTGAAATTATCCCAGCAAAGCAACTGAACAGCGATGTGTAGAAGCATATTTGAAAGCATTCCCTTTAAGATTCAGATGAAAATCCAGTTGTAGAATTCTGCTGTTCTCGCAGTCCTAGTCGCATTCGCGATGACAGTCGCAGCGGCAACGGCAGTCGCAGTCACAGCCTCAACTTCAGCCTGCCTCAGCCTCAGCCTCAGCCTGCCTCAGCCTCAGCCTGCCTCAGCCTCAGCCTCAGCCTGCTTCAGCCTCAGCCTCAGTCTGCCTTCAGCCTCGGCCTCAGCCTCAGCCTGCCTCAGCCTCAGCCTGCTTCGGCCGCAGCATCAGCCTGCCTCAGCGTTCAAGATGTGGCCCAGGAACGGAGTTCTGGGAATTAGAAAAACACAAAGTGGCCTACAGTTGGCTCCGGGCATCCAAAATCATGCCCAGGAATAGAGTTCTGGGAACTTGAAGAGCACGAAGTGGCCTACAGTTGGCTCCGGGCATCCAAAATGTGGCCCAGGAATGGAGTTCTGGGAAGTCGAAGAGCACGAAGTGGCCTACAGTTGGCTCCGGGCATCCAAAATGTGGCCCAGGAGTGGAGTTCTGGGAACTGGGAAGTCGAAGAGCACGAAGTGGCCTACAGTTGGCTCCGGGCATTCAGAATGTGGCCCGGGAGTGAAGTTCTGGGAGGTCGAAGAGCACGAAGTTTGTGACTGTTTGCGAAAAACGAGTGCGGCGGCAGCCGCGCCGGGTCCCGCCCCGGGTCCCGCCCCGACCCCCCTGAGGAGTCATGATGCTCTCTTTTGAGACCACTTGAAACCTATCAGCAACAGCTGTTAGGTAATTATCCCGGCAAAGCAACCTAACAGCGATGTGTAGAAGCATATCTGAAAGCATTCCCCTTAAGATTCAGATGAAAATCCAGTTGTAGAATTCTGCTGTTCTCGCAGTCGCAGTCGCATCCGCGATGACAGTCGCAGCGGCAACGGCAGTCGCAGTCACAGCCTCAGCCTCGGCCTGCCTCAGCCTCAGCCTCAGCCTGCCTCAGCCTCAGCCTGCCTCAGCCTCAGCCTCAGCTTGCTTCAGCCTCAGCCTCAGTCTGCCTTCAGCTTCGGCCTCAGCCTCAGCCTGCCTCAGCCTCAGCCTGCATCAGCCTCAGCCTCAGCCTCAGCCTGCCTCAGCATCAGCCCGCTTCAGCCTCAGCCTCAGCCTGCCTCAGCCTCAGCCTCAGTCTGCTTCAGCCTCAGGTCCCTTCAGCCTCAGGCCCTCAGCCTCAGCCTGCCTCAGCCTCAGCCTGCCTCGGCCGCAGCATCAGCCTGCCTCATATTCAAAATTGGCCCAGGAATGGAGTTCTGGGAACCAAAGAACACGAAGTGGCCTACAGTTGGCTCCGGGCATCCAAAATCATGTGGAGTTCTGGGAACTTCCGGAAGTGGCCTACAGTTGGCTCCGGGCATCCAAAATGTGGCCCGGGAATGGAGTTCTGGGAAGTCGAAGAGCACGAAGTGGCCTACAGCTGGCTCCGGGCATCCAAAATGTGGCCCGGGAATGGAGTTCTGGGAAGTCGAAGAGCACGAAGTGGCGTACAGTTGGCTCATAGCATCCAAAATGTGGCCCGGGAATGGAGTTCTGGGAGCACTAAGAGCGATTTTGGGATGATGTCCTGAGCGATTTCGGCTTCGGCGGCAGCCGCGGCGGCAGCCTGTCCGGGTCCCGCCCAGACCCCCCTGAGGAGTCATGATGCTTTCTTTTGAGACCATTAGAAACCTATCAGCAAGAGCTGTTAGGTAAAAAGCAACAAAAAAATCCGCGGGGCGCCTGGGCGCCCAGAACGGGCCCACAGCGCACGAAGGCGGCCCCGGGGGCCAATTTTTGACGCTTCGTGTATCCTCACCAGCCCATCCCTGCCCGATGTCACAGCTGCAACATATCCAAAGCCTTCAAAACCGTTTGCCTCGGATGCCCTCCCGACGTTCGCGGGCAACCCTCGGGCCCCTCTTGGGGCCCTGCAGTTTGGGCCTCGGCGGAACTTCCAGGTCGGCCCCAGAGGCCTCCAAGGCAGGCCGGGAAGCTCCCAAGGCGGCCCAGGAGGACCCCCCAGGAGGGACCGAAAAGGCAAACATTACGCTACCGAGGAACCCCACATACTGATTTTTAATCTTATGTGTTTGCTTGTCATTATCATCTATGCGCAATGCTGCGTTCTAAACCCTCGTCGCGAATCGTCGTCGTACTTGTCGTACTCGTTGTCGTACTCGTCGTACTCGTCGTCGTACTCGTTGCCGCTCTATCGTCTCACTCGTCATCGTACTCGTCGTCGTACCTCGCCGTCGTACTCGTCTTCGCATTCGTCGTCGTGCTCGTCGCACTCGTCGTCGCACTCGTCGTCGTCGCACTCGACGTCGTCGTACTCGTTGTGTTGGTAGTGCTCGTTGTATTCGTCGCCGCACTCGTGGTCGTCGTCGTCCTCCTCCTCCTCGTCCTCCTCCTCCTCGCCCCACCCCATCCTGTCAACTCCTCCGCACTCCTCTCAATTCCTCCGCACTTCCCTCAACTCCTCCGCACCCCTCTCAACTCATCCTCTCATATCCTTCTGTACTCCTCCTTCTGCACTCCTCCGCACTCCTCTCAACTCCTCCGCGCTCCTCTGAACACCTCCGCACTCCTCTCAAATCCTCCTCCTCACAACTCCTCCGCACTCCTCTCAACTCCTCCTCCTCGCAACTCCTGCACGGCCGCGCACGGCACGGCACGGCACGGCGCCGACGAAAGGCATGGCACGGCAGTGATTCCCGACGGCCCCGGGGCTTTGAGCGTGCCTCCAGACACCGAAAGAAGCGAAAAACCTCCTCGAACCTCGAAGTGCGTCGCCGTCGTCGTCGTCGTCGCCGCCAGACATGGTCAGACCTCCGGCGGCGCAGTGCTCCCTCGGGCCCCGGATGGGGCGGGCGCGGCAGGGGGCGGGAGCGGGGGCCGGGAGGACCGGCCAGAGCTCCTGCGGACCGACGACAACGACCTTTCTCGCCCTGCCTTCCGCCACCATTTCTTCTCCTCTATTCTTCTTCTCCATTTTCTTCTATACTGCTCCTGGGAGGGCCCATAGGGAAGGGAAGGAGGGGAGGGAGGGAAGGAGTGAGGGACTCCTGCTGCTGCCCCGGCTCCTGCCCCCTTTCCTGCGATGGCAGCTCTCTGGTCTCGCGCCCTTCGATGGAAAATCTCTGGGCGACAGCGCATTCTATAAACCCTAAAGACCTTCGATGGAAAATCTCTGGTCTTTGGATGCGGACGACGCTCTGTGGCGATCAGAGGCAGACGTGCCTAGACGGGCACGATGCCAAATCCATGTGGGAAAGCAGCGCGCGTGGCATGCTGCAGCGAACCGCACTCCGGGAAACCGCACTATCTTGGCAGCCATGCTTTCCACAATATGCTCCAGACGCTGTGCCACAGATCCTGAAAGTTTTGCTGCTTAGTGTATGCCTTTGGAGGAAGCAAATTGCCGCCTCCAAAGCCGAGAGCCAGGGTGCTGACTCTAATTTACTTGATAAAAGCCAGGCCTGACGGCATTTCGCCGGCCAGCGTTTGAGAGGTCTCGGGCAGCCGTGTCAGGAGGCCACGAGCCCCAATCGAGCCACATGTCTCAGCAATATTATCGCAGGGCGCTGGCCTAGGGTCCGCAGCCGAGCAGAGTTGGCTCGTCGGGCTTCGTAAACCACCGAATTCGCTTCGCGACCGTCGTCACTCACTCTCTTCCTTGTCCCTCCCCCCCGCCGAGAGCCAGGGTGCTGACTCCAGCTTACTTGATACAGGCCAGGCATGGCGGCACTCTGGAAAACGCAGCGCCTGCAGCTCCGCCGAAAAAGGGTTGAAGGCAAGCGACATACAGGCGCGGGAGGATGCACGTAGCCCACGTGCAATGCAGCCAGGCGCACGCCAGCCGCGAGCTGGGCATGCATGCGCCAAGTCGTCCGTGCAGGGCGCGGCAGAGGGTGCACGATGCCGCTTGGAGGGTTCAGATCCCTCTCCTCCTCCTCCTCCTCCTCCTCCTCCTCCTCCTCCTCCTCCTCCTCCTCCTCCTCCTCCTCCTGTTCCTCCTCAATGACGTCCCGAACGGTACTTGCGCTGGAGAAAGCTGTTCCCCACCTAGCTACGGCCCCGCTCGGCAGAGGGGGGCCGCCCTGCACTCCCCGTCGGCGGCCGCCCTCCTGCCGGCGTGCACGTGGCCGCTGCGCGCTGCGCGCCGCAGTTTAATCTCTCGGGGAACGGAGAATGGCATAAGCATAAAAACTCGGAGGTCCGCGCGAATTTCTTTTCACGGGCGAAGAACGGTATAACATAAACGTTTTCGCTGTCGGGGGCGCATGGCTCTGGGCGGCTGGAAAGTTCATGCCCTTACGGTGGCACCGTAGGGGCATGAACTTTCCAGCCGCCCAGAGCCAGGCGCCCCCGACCGCGAAAAAGTTTATTTTATAACGTTCTTCGTTCGCTGATTCTTGGACTCGAAAAATCCGCGCGGACCTCCGAGTTTTTATGCTTATGTCATTGCTCGCTCCCCCCTCACCTTCGGAGGCTTCTTCACCTTGGCGCGCTGCTCCTGGCCGCGGCCGTCGCCGATCATGCCGCGCACGAGCTCCAGCAGGGTGCCAGACCCCTGGCCCCGCTCGCCGCTCTTCTGGAACCCGGGGGCCGACGAACAGGAGCCCGACTCCTCGCAGGTGAACAGCTGGCCGTCGATAAATACCCACGGCATGCTCGGCGGCTCGGTGAACTTCGCGTCGGTGAGGCGGTGCATGGCCGCGACGACGCTGTCGGCGTAGTCCGTGCTGTACATAATGTCGAACGCCTCGCGGCCCTCGAAGCACGCCTGCAGCCCGTCCTCGCCAGACCACGGGATGCCGGCCTGCTTGCTGCAGGTCTCGGTGGCATCCTCGTCACGGCCGAGCAACACCATCGCCGTGAGCCCTAGGTCGCACTCCACGAAACCAGCGCCCCTCCGCAGCGCCTCGGAGTCCGCTGGGGCGGGCATCGGGAGCGCCTCCTTCAGGGCGCACAGCGGGGCCAGCGACAGCGAGCATGCGTCCGTGATCCTGCAGCTGTCGGAGCTCGACATGCCCTTCAGCAGCGGCAGCAGAGTTACCACCACCCCGTCCCCGGGCAGCCCGGCGTCGAGGAAGGGAAGCAGGCTGTTGTGGACGAAGTGGTAGCAGTGCGGGCACGTCGCCAGGAAGAACACCTCGACGGAGATCGGCGCGCCCTGCCGCTCCCGCAGCCCCCGCCCACGGGCGCTCGGGGCGGCGGCGGGCGCGTCGGCGCCGCGGGGCCTCGCCGCGACGGCCTCGTACTCGCGGGCCACGGCCTCGAGCTGCCACCCCTCGCCGCAGGCGCCCTCGAGGACGCCGCGCCCGCCTCCGAGCGGAGCGGCGGCGCACAGGCAGAAGAGGCACCCGCGCCGCGTCCGCGGGGGCGGCAGCCGCATGCGTGGACCGCGCGGGCAGCCGCGGCTGCCGCGGTCGCCGCGGCGTGAAAGCGCGGTCCGCGCCGCCCCAAGGCGCAGGCGGCGGCGGGGCCCCCGTGGCTGGAGCCGAGGGGGCTGCGGAGGGCGCTCGGGAGGCATGCTGGGCCGTCTGGAGACCGTCCTGGGCCGCGAGCTCGGCGAGGAGAGGCCTCCCTGGGCCGTGCTGGGTACGTCTGGTGAGGGGCGTGTTCTTTCCACCGCCACAACCATAATTAAGTTGGAGGGGGAGGGGGTCCTCCTCCTCCTCCTCCTCCTCCTCCTCCTCCTCCTCCTCCTCCTCCTCCCCCTCCTCCTCCTCCTCCTCCTCCACCTCCTCCTCTTCCCCCTCCGCCCCTGTGGCGGTGGTGGTGGAAGACAAGCCCATCGTCCGGAAGGCCTCCTTGGACGGCATCGGGGCCCCCCAAGCGCCTGCACGTCCGCGCTTGTGGTCGAGGCCCTGGCCCGGGGGGCCCGGGCCCGATGGCCGCTGCACGTGCGGGCGCAGGGAATCAGCCAGATGAACAACCCAGGAGCCTAGGAGGCCGCCGATGGATGGACGGGCGCCCGCATCGAAGCACGCGCCGCCCTTGTCACCTTTTGAGAGATGCAAGGACGCAAGAGAAGCAAGGACGCAAGTTGCCCGACTCGCTCTTTGACGGAAAGCCTCCAGGCATTGCGAGGGGGTCACCGAGGGCCGTCCCCCGATGGGACAAGAGGCGAGGGGGTCACCGAGGGCCGTTTCGCAGACTGCGACGAGACGACTGAAGTCTGAAATCTCGGCTGACTTCCACTTTAGATCTGCCTCCCCCCACCCAGACAACCAAGGCGACCCTGGCGGCCGATCACACAGAGCGAGATGCTCGCGGAGGGCCGTCTGCAAGCATGGGCATGCAGCGATGGGGGCCCCAGAGAACCGTTCCCCGGAGGCCGAGGGCCGTTCCTGGGAGGGAAAGGGGCGACCACAGGACAAGAGTCGATGGGGGTCACCGAGAACCGAGACTTGGCCTTTGACGGGAAGCCTCTGGGCCTTGTGAATTGCGAAACCTTTCAATGGAAAATCTCCAGGCTCGCACCAGATCGCTCGAGTGGAAGGTTTCTTGGAACGAAGCCCGAGAGGATCGAGATCAGAGATGGTCTGAGGCACAGGCATACGAGAGGACGTAGCGCCTCAGGCACTGACCGAGCTCCATCAGGTCGGCCTCACCGCTGCGAAGAATCTCCAGCCTGGCAGACGAAGACGCAACGAGCTCTCGACGCAACAGAGCCCCATGCATCTGGGGCAGGGGGAGGGGCGGAGGCTGTTCCCAAAACACATCGTCACCAAGCGACATGCGTCACTGGCTTGGTAAACGAACGCTGAATCGGAGAGCTCAGCGATAACCCAGGGCCGTTTCCCCAAACGCAGCGCGCTGTCTCATGGGACTCTCAGCGCCAGAGCAACTGTGCGGAAAGATGCGCTTGTTTATATTGGAATGTCCCGATGCCTCCAAGGCTCGCAGCGGATCAGAGCCTGCACCACGGCGTTGAGGTAACACGTATTCCCGAAGTTGGGCATGCACACGGACGGCAGGTAGAGGGTCGACAAGTCGTCTGTAACGCAGGCAAAGAAATCGAATATTCTTTCCTTGGCGAACGAGAACGAGGCCGCGTGGGCGGGGGGCATGTCTCTGAACTTCGTCCAGGCAGAGAGGACCTGTGTGATAAGCTTGATCCTGACAGGGTCCGGGCGCGGGTCCCCCTGGTCTGCTGGGTAGAGGAACTTCACCGCATCCAGCCGCTCTGCCAGGGCAGCCTGCCGCGAGGGGCGCGCTGGGCCTTCCACGTCTCGCAGAGAGTCGATGCAATGATGATCAGCAGCAGCTCGAAACGTCCAATGCCAGGGGGCGACGTCGCCCACCTCCCCGTGGAACTTGGCGCTAGCTACGCCGAGCATGTCAGGCTGCAATGCGAAAAGACGAAGGGTAGGTACATCCACTCTGTAGGATCCAGCGTTCGTGGAGCACCTGTAAAGCGCCTGCCGCAAATCGGCATCGCCGCCCCTCCTCGACGGCAAGTACTCCGGATCAGAAGCTCGCTTGGCCGCGAAAGCCTTGCACCATTTCATTGCTTTCTTCCCCGCTTTCGTCGACAGATTCTCGAGCTGAACTGATTCTCGCAAGCCTTGCGACCAGGGTACTTCTGCCCAACGGCGGTCCGTCTGGGCCGGCTCAGGGGACAGCTGAATGCGAGGTGTGCCTGTGGAGCGAACAGAGGTGGCAAGCAGAACTGCTGGGGACCGCCGAGGAGTGAATGCCTGCATTGGCGTGCACTTGATAGGCGCGTCCTGCGCGGGCGTGGCAACGCCCCCGTTGCCGGCGTCGCCGACCCGCCGAACTTTCGCCAACGGCGAGCCATCGCCATCCTCCGCACCACCCCCCGGCTGATCAGCTGGGAACCCGCCGGACGAAGGGTTCAGCAAGTACGCAGTCAAGCACTGCCTCCTGGCATCGTCGGCGCCTTTTGTTCGCGGCAACTCACTGTACCTGGTGAGGAGCGCGTCAGGCCACCAGTTTGCCAGCTGTCGGTGGTAAGCATCAAATGCACGGTGTACCAATGCGTTCCCATGCCGGACAACATATATTCGCAAACCATCCAGGCTCACATCAACGCCCATTTCTTGCATTGATTGCTTGAGCTGCTCGCAAGGCGGTGGCGCAGCGGACATTGCGCATTTGGGCGCCATGACGGGGACCGTACCTTTGACGGAGAGTCACCGGCGGCCGTCCGCGTTCACTATGAGCCCGCATGAGCCAGGGTGGCTACAGTTCTTGATGATGATGATGCTACAGCGTCGTCGTCGTCGTCGTCGTCCACTTGAGCTCCGATGGCGAACCCGCGCTCCCCTATCGAGAGAACGCGCTCGAGCGGCCGAAGCCGCTCTACCTTCACCTGGGTCCGCCGAGCGCGAGATGTCAACCTCTCGGTCCCCCGACGGCTAGAGCCTTCTTGGAGCGCCCCGTGCAGGATTTGGGATGGCGTCGTCGTCGTCGTCGCCGCCGCCTCCTCCTCTCCTCCTCCTCCTCATCGCCGTCCTCCTCATCATCGCCCCTCTCCTCCTCGTCCTCCTCGCCCTCCTCCTTTTCCTCCTCCTCCTCGTGCTCCTTCTGCTCCTGCGCATCCGTCCCCATCCTCTTCTCGCTTCTCCTCCTAAACTCCTTCCCTGCTCGTCCCCTTGGTCCTCCTGCTCCTGCTCATCCACCCCTCATCCTCATCATGCTCCTCTCTCAGGCACGAGACACCTAGGGCGGCCGAGCGCGGACAAGTCAGGTCGGCCGAACACGCAACACCTAGGGCGGTCGAACAAGCCAGGTCGGTCGAGCACCGGACTCGTAAGGCGACCGAGCAAAGACAAGTCAGGTCGGTCCAGAACGGAACACCTAGGGCGGTTGAGCACGAGACACGTAAGGCGGCCGAGCACGAGACACCTATGGCGGGCGAGCACGGGACACCCAAAGCGGTCGAGCACGAGAGCGGAGCTGTCCAACGGTCGGACAAGTCAAGTCGGTCCAGCACGAGACACCTACGGCGGTCGAACAAGTCAGATCGATCCAGCACGCCACACCTAAGGCGGTCGAACAAGTCAGGTCGGTCGAGCACGAGACACCTAAGGCGGCCGAGCACGGACAAGCCAGGTCGGCCTCCTGGAGAGGAGGTAGAGGGCAAGGAGGAGGAGGAGGAAGAAGAGGAGAGAAGGGAGGAGGACCATCGTGCATAGCGGCCGAGCTCAGGGACCACCTCCTGCGCCCCCCTCTGGTGTCGAGAAAGTGCCACGCCTGCTGTGCCTGGACGACCGTCGTGCATAGCGGCCGCGCTCAGGGACCACCCCCTGCGCACCCCCTCTGGTGTCGAGAAAGTGCCACGCCTGCTATGCCTGGACGACCGGCGCGTATAGCGCCGCGCTCAGGGACCACCCCCTGCGCCCCCCTCTGGTGTCGAGAAAGTGCCACGCCTGCTGTGCCTGGACGACCGTCGCGCATAGCGGCCGAGCTCAGGGACCACCTCCTGCGCCCCCCTCTGGTGTCGAGAAAGTGCCACGCCTGCTGTGCCTGAACGACCGTCGTGCATAGCGGCCGCGCTCAGGGACCACCCCCTGCGCACCCCCTCTGGTGTCGAGAAAGTGCCACGCCTGCTATGCCTGGACGACCGGCGCGTATAGCAGCCGCGCGCTCAGGGACCACCCCCTGCGCACCCCCTCTGGTGTCGAGAAAGTGCCACGCCTGCTATGCCTGGACGACCGGCGCGTATAGCAGCCGCGCTCAGGGACCACCCCCTGCGCACCCCCTATGGTGTCGAGAAAGTGCCACGCCTGCTATGCCTGGACGACCGGCGCGTATAGAGACCGCAGCGAAGGACCACCCCCTGCGCACCCCCTATGGTGTCGAGAAAGTGCCACGCCTGCTATGCCTGGACGACCGGCGCGTATAGAGACCGCAGCGAGAGACCACCCCCTGCGCACCCCCTATGGTGTCGAGAAAGTGCCACGCCTGCTATGCCAGGACGACCGGCGCGTATAGAGACCGCAGCGAGAGACCACCCCCTGCGCACCCCCTATGGTGTCGAGAAAGTGCCACGCCTGCTATGCCTGGACGACCGGCGCGTATAGAGACCGCAGCGAGAGACCACCCCCTGCGCACCCCCTATGGTGTCGAGAAAGTGCCACGCCTGCTATGCCTGGACGACCGGCGCGTATAGAGACCGCAGCGAGAGACCACCCCCTGCGCACCCCCTATGGTGTCGAGAAAGTGCCACGCCTGCTATGCCTGGACGACCGGGCGCGTATAGAGGCCGCAGCGAGAGACCACCCCCTGCGCACCCCTGGTGTCGAGAAAGTGCGCCTGGACGACCGATAGCGCCGCGCTCAGGGACCACCCCCTGCGCACCCCCTCTGGTGTCGAGAAAGTGCCACGCCTGCTATGCCTGGACGACCGGCGCGTATAGAGACGCGTGCGGGCGTGCGCGACCCGCCTG